GAGCACCAGAACCAGGACTCTCGGTCGCTCGAATGTCAGATAGCAGTGCAGCAGCAGAGCGGAGGAGCAGTCATGCGGATAAAAGCGTACCGCAAAAAAGAAGGAAAAAAAATACTCATAATATGAAATCTATCTAGAGTCATGGATGATACTCCTCCTGCCAACCGTCAAACCCCACTGCAGCCCCTCCCTCCCCCTGAAACACTGTCTATCTGTCTGTCTTATATAACCAACTGTCAACATTTCAATTTTATTCTTTTTCTGTGCATTTTTTTTGCAATTGAAATTTTGCAAGCTCAATGCACACGCAGCATAGAGAAAATATAACAATGAAAAAGTATAGAGAGATTCAGTGAAAGAGATCTTGAGGAGACTATAGAATGCCCTTTCTATTATGATTTTAATATAATAAAGATACTAAGATATTTGAACACATTTTCTCTGGTTTTTTCTACACCAATAAATAGAATTTAATAATACCATAATAGGTGTTTAAGGAATTATTTTGCTAAGAGCATATTCTGTGTGCCCTCAGGCTACACTCTCCACTAGTTTTGTAAGACGAAACCCTGAGGCTACCTTCTCCACCAGTTAAAAGAGAATACTGTAGCTTTTGTGACGCTGATGTCTCAATTGGCATTCAGTTGTCGTCTTGATTTGAGTTCCCTGCTCCGCTCCTCAATGAATTTCCGTTTGGATTCCGTTTCCATTGTGTATTCACAAACCTCCCCGTCCCCCCGCCGATTATTCATTGCAAACATTTCTCCATCTTTTGTGTGTGTTCTCTTCTCTTCAGCTATCTGTTTTCCCTCCTTTTGTTCTTTCCGTTTGGCTCTCGTTAATTGCCTCTCAATTAAGAGCATTTGAAAGTTTTTTAATTTAGAAACTTTTTTAACTACACATAAATTGCATTTTCTTATGAATAATGTGTGCAAAAGAAGAATGCAAAAATTATGCAATATTTTTTATGACGCGCTCGTTAATTGCAACGTTGAAAAAAAATGAGTTTTTCCAGTGCAAAACTTTTAGCAGAAAGAGAAAATTGTTTAGTACGTAAAATTATTTAGCATAGAGGGTTGGCCCACTTTCGTGGGTGAGTGTGAAGTGTTTTGGTTTCATTTTGTACTCCAGATTATTATATATTTGAGTAGATGTTTGCAACTAATTTTGTGGGGTGAAAACAGATCGTTTTGTGCTTCAGAAAATAGTGAAATCAAACGTTGGTAAAGGCAGTTAAAAAGTATCCAAAAAAGATCAAAATAAATTCGATATACCTTGAAAATAGGGTATCAAACACTTCAATCTTCGAATCAACATTCCTTTTAATATTTCCCTTTTGTTTTGTATATTTTTTCTAAGCATTTCGCTCGCTGCCTTGGACTACTGAATGCCTGCCTGCCTGCCTTGCATTGGTTGATGGGCAAATTGATGTCAATAATTGAATGCCAGATGTTTATAAATTTTATAAATTGTTGATCTATTAATTGCTTGTATGTCTCGAGTCCCCACAATTGAGAAATGTGTGGCTGCCGAGATTTCAGTTCGAAATTGACACAGATTTCCGATTCAGTGTTTCCATCCTCTGTTTCTCTGCCTTTCAATGAACATATTGTAAATGTCTACTGTGCGCCAATTATTCACTTTAATGTCCCACTCATTATTCACCTTATTCATTTACTAATTCCATCAATTAGTCATTGGGGGGTGGGGGATGAGAGAGACTTTCATGGAGAAGCTTAGGGCATCATAAATCTCATTGGGGGCAAAAAGCCATAAAATCCAGAGACAAACGGGAGTCAGAGAGGCAGACAAAGACTTTTTGAGCACAAATCTTCCAACTGTCAGGCAAACAAGTCGACAAAAATTATTAAAAAAGTTCTTGAATTTCCACGGCAAACACAGAAAAACAGAAATGAGCGAAAGAATGCTGAGAGCAGAATTCTGATGGGAAAACACAGAGGAAAATGCCATGGCCGGCAGGCAGTAACTGGAGATGCAAGAAAAATGGAGGTGCGGAAAAACTGCTTTGGCTGTAGGTCAACCCGGGGGCACTATTTACCCAACAACACGCATGGGAGGACATGGCTGTAGATGGCTGTAGGGGCTTAAGCTTGAGAGGACATGGGTGTAGAAAGTAGTTAAAGGGGGCAGCTCATGGTGAGGGGTGGGGTTCTCTGGGGTGCACTCTCCTTTGTTGACTTGTCCGAAGTGTTTAACCAAAGAAGCAGCACAACAGTTTGCCCCCTAAGTAGGTTACACACAAAGACATCAGCAGTAGCAACAGCAGCAGCAGCAGCAGCAGTTGCAACATGACACGCCCACCTATTTGTTGTCACCCCCCTGTCCAAACAACCCTCTCTAAAGCTAAGCTTTTTTTTATTCTTTGTGCAGTATATGGAATGAGGTTAGAATTGATTTTTGCGATAAAACTGGAGATCGCATGTCTGCTGGCATAGGCCTCTGCCTCCACCTTTCGCTTGAATGGATTCCCCCGCCCCTATTCTACGAGTAAGAGGCTAAAAACTGGGTTATAGGCAATTGAGCATTCAGTTAACTGGTGTATACAGAGACAGATATAGATACAGGTGATACAATGTAAAAAGAGAGAGAGACAGCGCGAGGTGTGAATGGTCTCCAGGAAAAAGCAATTATGTTTTGTTTCAGAATAATAGATTATCTTATGGATTATTCACCATTAACTGAATACTGATAAACGAAAAATGAGAAGTAATTTTAATAGCTCATAAAATATGCTATTTTAATGGGTCTTTCGTTGAATTAACTAAGGCTTTGAGAACTAATCGATGGATTTAATAAACCATTATGTATTGTAGGACAAATTTCTTGTGCTCCATAGCTAATATTTTTCACAGATAAATCAAATTTTTTAAAGTAGTTAGAAATATTTTAATCAAGCTTAGAGCATGATTTAGTATAACAAAATATAAAGAATTCTTTACTTTTAATTTTTACTAAAAGTACATGCAACAAATCTCGTATTCTTCTTAGTCCCCATTAAAATATTTTTTTTACAGATATTGTGACATTTTAAATCCCAAACGTCGCTAACTTAATACCATGTTGATACCGATACCTATACCGCTACCCCACCCCACAACAACGATCAATGGCACCATTTGCTGTTATACGATGCAACATTCGACTAAAATTCAATTTCATTAAAAATTTACCAAGAAAGTAAAGAGAAAAAATTTCTAAAAATAAACCCATCAGGCGTGCACGTGCCAAAGACAGAATTTGGAAAATGGGAAATGGGGCGGGGCCCAGAGGTGTCTCTAGGGGAAGAAGAGCTCTTGTGTGTGAGAAGGGGCTAGGGGTTAGAGGGTAGGAGGTGTGTAGCCGGAATAGTGACATTCTAAGAGACATTCTGTGCAGCTAAAAATTCAATATCCAATAGAGAGTCAAATAACACGTACAAAATAAATTGATGTTAATCGCTTGTAGAGTATTTTATGATGCAATATCCCTATAAGACCCTAAGTGCCTCTCTATTATGGGAGGAATAATTGCTTTTTTTTTTAGCAATTAAAAAACCACTTTCCAGCCATAACTGACCTAACAGCCCAGTTACCATCTAAATAGATAGAAAAACATATGAAATATAGACCTTAAACATTATCTAATTGGTTTATCAAATTACTCAACCTTTATGGCTTTCATGGCTGGCACACACAGCGCTTTCGTTTCGTCGGTTGGGCACCGAAAAGACAATAAACAATATTATCTATTCCGATATCTAAACATCCAGAAGAAGAAAAGGTTTTGTTTTTTGTTGAGCTTCCGATTGCCGCGGCCATAAAAAATTTATGACAATTTTTTTGTAGAGGGGGCCGTTGTCATGACTCTTACACACGATATACAGCGATTAGTCATATATTTTTGCTGGGAAATTATGCTTCCTTCCTGCTGTATGGAAGTCACCAAAATGGTTGCAAGGACTCGCATTATGCAACCGTGAAACGGACTAAATGATGGCTCAGAGAGGTTTAGTTCAGAGTGCGATTCAGCATGGTTCCAAGAGGTGTGCACGCATTAGCGATGGCTGGGGCTGGACTGGGGCTGGGCTGTGCCTTTTGTACATTATTGATTTCTATATTTAGACTAACTACGTGACTTGCACACACGCGCTTCGTGCCCCATTCTACCACGAGTAAGTGCTGCTTACACTTTGATCGATATTTTGCTTGGGAGATACAAATACGATTACGGATATGATTGCCCCTTTTGCGTTGGTGGACAGAAAAGGGCAAAGTAATGGTGGCAAATGATTGGCATGTAATTACGAGTGAATTTTCTTATTGGAACGTACATACGAGAATTTGAAGAACAAATCGATGAAATACTGTTAAAAAATTTAGAACTGTAGTTGCAATTCGTGGGAGTATCTTTTCAACAGAAACTTACATATGCAAAAGCAATCAGAAAAGGTAATCAATTGGAAAAATCATTGAAATAATGAAAACTTAGGCTTAGGCTTGTTCAAATTAATAAATATAAATAAATATAAATATAAAAATCAAGAGTACAGCCTTTGATTAATCCAAGGCAAATATGGCTCGACAAAAGCCCGATGGTCTCATTGAATATAAAAAAAAATGCAAATTAAAACCCAAGCAACACATTAAGAAAAAATATACCAAGTGAATTTTTAAATTAATATTGGAAGATATTTTAGTGTTGAACAGAAATGTTTATGCTTTTTTCTATACATTTTTGTCGTTTCCCATTATGTAAGTAGGTTCCAAAACTCTCCTAGAAATTAGTGTATATGTCTAGACTTTGAAAAATATTTGGTGATCCATAATAATTGAATTCTGCTTGATATTATCTCTATATCACATCATAAATATGGAAAATACATTTAATATCAATCTTTTAAGATCCAATTTGAATATCTATACACATCCAAGACTCTATTTGATTGATGTTGGATTTAAATATAAAATTATATTAATCATTTATGATCAGAATTTACTTACCCCAACTGGAACCGGTACGTCCAAGGCATTGGCTAGTTTCACTGTTCCATAGGAATTTTCTGAAACCCTCCCATTTCCCCATTTTAACCGGCGGCGAATAATATTCACCAATTTTCTTGTCGGCCATTTTTACTGCTTTTCTTTTTTAATCGGGTTTTTACTTGAGAATTTGGTTTTAATTGGTTTTTTGTCACTTTGGTTTTGTGTGTGTTTTGCTGTTGTTGTTGTTGTTGTTGTTGTAGGAGGGTGTCCTGTCAATAAAGCTAGTTCTTTGTTTAAACTATTTTTCTTGTGGGCTTAAGGTTGAACGCTTATCGATTATGAATATATTATATATTTTATTTATTTATATATATATATATATTTATTGGTGTTAATTTTTGTTTTTAGTTTTTTGGTTTTTTTGGGTGAGTTTTTCTTAATCAACTGCGTTGGTACAACATTTTATCGGTTTTTTGTTTGGTTGATTTTTATGTTTGGAATGTTCGTAGCAGTATTTGGGTTTAGATTTGCGTCTAAATTTCGTTACTGAAAAAAGAGAGAGTTGATCAGAAGATAGTTTGTTTGGTTGAGATGATTAATGGATGGAATTGTGGGCTTAGATGTGACACCTGTTAGTGGATGTGCATGTAGCGGGTGAAGGATAAATGGTAGAAGTATATGACATAATAGTTGAGGTTTTCTTTTGGTTTATTTAGTTTTCATTTGAATGTTCCTGGTGCCTTTTTCATTTGAGTTCACTTTCATGCAAAGTATTTAGTCTCTTTTGTTGGTTTCTTTTTGCCATTTCTTTTATTTTTAATAAGTTTTATATAGAAACTATCTACTGCCTGAAATGTACGCTACAAATTTCTTCTTTTATGCAAGAGTCGTTGCTGATTTTTTGGTCACAATTTTCGTGAAAAGCCACAATCTGTTTTTCTGCTTATATAAACTTTGGACTTCCTTCAGTTGTGCTTCAGTTTTTTTTTTCTTCATTTTTTTTCGTCCCTTTACCAAATGTGTGTTTTGTTGTTCCTGTTGTGTGCCTCGATTCGGCGCAGCCACAAGGACACTTGATGAAAATCTGTCTTTGCCCCTAAGAGTCTTTTCTTTTGCTTTTCAGCTTGGGTTCTTTGGGATGCAAAAATGCTTCACTTTTTCTTGTTTATTGTAGTAATTTTATTCATTGGATTTTCCCACAGTTAATTGTTGGAAAATGGTTGATGGAATCGCTCAGCTTTACGTAAAATGTATATTCAGTAGTCACCTCTGCCGATTTTTGAGCCACACAGACACTCTGCTGCCAACTGTTATGTAATCTCGAGCGTGGAGCATTGGAAAAGCCTTCGACCAGCAATCGTCCGACTAATGCCGAGCCGAGCCACCAAGCGACGATGAGTTGCGGACATGCGCGAGAGAGAGAGATGAACACAGAGCCAGTCAAAAGAAAGAGAGGTGGCTAGCTAGAGTGTGGAAAAGAGAGACAGTGAGAGCAAGAGCGAGAGCGTAAAACTGGAACTTTTGCCTTGGAAGGTTCTTTTTTTTTTTTTTTCTTCTTTTCAGCTTCTTCTTCTTCTTCGTTTGCTTTATAGTGCTGCAGCAGCAGCAGAAGCAGCTTTTGGAATCGAAGGCAAAAATACTTGTACATGCCATGCCATGCCGTTGCCATGAAAGTTGACAGCTGGGCGCCAGCTTAATGACAGTTCTGAGAGCAGTACTAATATAACCAATATTCATGGAGAACGCTACGCTAGAGGGAGTGGAGTGGGTGGAGTGGTGGGGGAGTGGTATGGTGTGTCCTGCCGCTAAACCAATAGTCCACTGGGGAGTGCACTCTACACCATAGAATCTGTTTTCAGTTCTTTCTGCAGTTTTTCTTTTGTAATTTTCAGCTGACGCCCAAAAGCATGCAACAGAAGAAATTATTTAACACTGCAAGGACATCCTCTTTGGAGGATTGTTGTTGATGATGATGCCCCTCTGCCCCTAGCGCTTATCATCGAATATGTGTGTTTTCCTGCGTTTTCTTTTTGATGAAAATTCTTGCACACACACACACACACACACACACTACATACGCGTGTACCCAGAGTCGTACTCGTACGAGTGCGTATGCCTTTGCTTGACTTACTTTTGTGTGTGTGTGTGTGTGTTCTGTCGGCGTCGCTTTCGCTGTCGGTGTCTTTTCGCGGCGCACATTGCGCAACGCGTCCGACTCGACTCGGGCTCTGAGTTCTGCGGCTTTGCCTTTGCTTTTGGTGCCTGTGGCTGGTTGGCAGGGGGGCCGTGTGGCAGAGTGTGTGTGTGTGTGCTGGCATGGGGCGTGTATGCGGGCGACTGGTGTGTGGTTTGGACTTGGGGGCAAGCGAATGTCTAGTAAAGGGCATGGCGCACAAATGTAGGCAATGCTATGGTGCCCCCCACCCTCCCGAACACACGCACACACAGAGACACAAAGAGAGATAACTGGTTGGTGGGGGATACACATAAGTATTTCTCGGGGTTTTCTTTTTTTTTTTTTCTGTTCGTTCCGTTTTTTACCTTTTGCTTCAAAAGTGCATAAAGATTGAGTGGCTGAGGTGTGCTCTATAGGCAGGGAATCCTTTAGCATTCGGTGTACTCTCATAAATATTCAAATCGATAAGTAAAAGATCTATGCTTAGAATTTATACCATCAAGACTACCAGAAGAGTCTAACAGCATAGTGCTGTAGAAAATGGAGAATTTTCCTTGATATTTCAAGCATTTACTCAACCCAAACTTAGATGCCTCGATGTAAGATAGAATATTTCAGGTCTAGGCTCAGTAAAAGTCACCAAAACTACACCCTTAACTTTTATATAAGATCAAACTCCAAAGCTAACCATGAAAATGTTTTATAACAAAGGTTGTTCCTCCTTTTTTCTGTTAGCACATACACACACTGTAGATATTGTCTTATTTTCTTTGGCCTCTGGGCTTTCCTTTGCCGTTAAACTCTTAAGCAGCAAAGCAGGCAACAAAAAAAATCGAATTTCAGTATGTATATAAGTTTTACAAGGATATCTTTGCTGCTGCTGCTGCTTGCTGCTGTCACAATGTCCTCGTTGTCGCCATCGTCGTCGTCGGCGACGTAATCATAAACTGTTTTTCTGCTTGTTTTTTTTTTGTCCTTTTCTGTTTTACTGGCACAACTCTTTCCCTGTCTATTATATTTATTTAAATTATTTTTTTCAGGCACTTGAAATTATATTTTTTGGATTTATGAAATGTACACGCTGTAGAACTTTTCTTTATGTTGAATTTTCCTTTGATGGGTTTTTGTGTGGAGGTTTCTTTTTTTTTTTTTATGTAACCAGCGTTCGTTCAGATGTGAAAATTTTTGTTGTGTGTTGTTGGTTTTCGGTTGGATTTTTAGCCGTGGCACACATACAGAATGGGTGTTTTTTGTTGTTGTTGTTGTTGTTTGTTGAACGCCTCTCCCTTCTCTCTACGCAGACTTGCACATAATAGCTCCAGATATATAGATAGATATATGTAGCTGCATGTGTACATATATGTATGTATATCTATGCCGTTAATCCGCCAGCGAGTGCGAGTAGCAACCGTCCACAGTTAAAACGCCAATGATAGTGCCAGGCCATCGACGATTGTGCCGCAGCTTGCAGCTGGCTATCCAGAGCGGTTCGGCGGCTCGACCGTTCGGCAATCGGGCAATCGGGCAATCGGGCTGGCATTCGGCTATTCGGTTCCGCCGGACGGACCCACAGCGTTAATTGTATGGCAGCGGGGGTGTGTATGGTGTGATGTGGGGTGTCTCGATGGAAGCTTCAGCTTTGCAAAAACACAAAAATGCCAGAAATGGTTGGAGCTTTTTGCTCAGCTGGGTGCCGTTGCCGCACAGTGGCCAGAATTTCTTCAAAACTATTTTCATTTTATTCAAGGCGCTCATTAAATTCTTTGACTTTTGCCACCACTGTGCGCCTCTCGCTGGAATAGCAGTCGGCGCTACGCTTTGTTCTCCTGCTGGGAGAGGGCAGTGGGTGGGAAAGCCAGCGGTGCAGGAGGTGCAGAAAGAGTGCAGCGTGGCAGAAAGAAAGAAAGAGAGAGAGATAAGAAACGCTGTGGGTTTGGTGAAGCTTTCAGCTACTTTCGCTGCTGTGATTTGCAGTTTCACGAAGTGGCTCTAAAACTGTCCAAGCGCCATAAAACTGCTTTAGTTGCAGACCAAATCAGTTGATTGTGCATGTAAAACTGCCAATAAAAAATATGAATAATATTAAAATGGATTTTAGGAAACATTCTATTCAATATTTAAGACATTCGCAAATTTTAACAATTTTTAAATTTATGGAAATTGTTCCAAAAAATATACATAGACATTGACTATTGATTTACTCTAAATTGTTGCCAAAAAGTTGAAGAATGTTGAAAATATGTTTCCCGAAATTAAAATTCATATTTTTAAGGCATTTTTTGTTTTATCTTTCAGCTCTATAGATGAGGAAAAGCCCAAATAAAATTTTAATAGTCCACCTTCTAAGCTGTTGCCGGCTCTGTCTGTGTCTAGTTAGCCTTAGGCTAACCCTCCAGTCTGACCCAAACTGTAGTAATTTTTGCATGCATTTGACAGCTCTCGGATTACACAGGGCCCTGCTGGCTGAATAAATTGCAGGAGTTGGCTGCCCCCCGGATGTGTGTTTGGCAGAAGCTCCAGTGTGTGCTCTCAGGCTCATGCGCTCTCTCCCGCCCGTCTTAGTCTGATGGAATTCAATCAGCGCAGAAGCCCATCAATCGGTGGCCCCCCCAGGCAACGTCCAACAGCAAGCCAAAGGCGGCAAAAATTTTACAATTCCAATGGCGAAACGTTCCAACGTTCCGGCGAATTCAGATGCGGTCCTGCGCAGACGGAGGCGTGAGAACAAGCGAGGGAGACCCAAAGAGACTGTGTCTCCGGCTCTGGTAATATAATATTTATTGATTATTTTGCTGGAGAGCAGAAAGAGAGAGAGAGAGAGAGAGAGAGCGAGTGCCATGGAGTTTGAGTTTGAAGTTGAAGCCGGGGCATTATTTCTGAATTATATAAAAACTAAAGCAAAGCCAGAGCCGGAGTCCAAAGCCAAAATCTGCACGAAAATTGACTTTTCCCACGTGAGATGGGGCTTTCGCCTTAGAATGTATTTATTTTTTTTTTTTGTTATTAAAGAGAGGGGAATTTGTTGTATGATTTTTTGGCAGACCTCTTTCTCTTTTGGTTATTTCCCCTGCATTCAATTACGTCACTTCTCAGCTGATTTGGAAAGTGAACCGTAAAAGTGTTATACAACCAGAGAGGGGTTGGTTCTTAGCCCAAAATAAAAATGGGATTCTGATTCTGCTGCTGCTTCTGCTGCTGCTCCTTGGCATAAAAATAGTCTTTTAATGGCTTTAATGTCAATTGAGTTGGCCAAAAACGTAGTGGTTTTTCGTATTTTTGACAAAGTTTTCCATTTGCTTGGCGGGTTTTTGATGTGGGTGCGGGGTATAGAACTTTTCTGAAGGACATTTTGTTGATTGTTTTGGACTTTTACCGCCCCCTGCTGTTGCTTAATATTTGGAGGTTCTCCATGCCACATAATTTGTCATTTCCTCGCTTGTGTAGGACCTCGGTATGAGGTGTCCTCCTCGCGGGGTTGAGGTTTACTTTGGGGGGCTTACTGATGGAGCTTTGGGGTTTCGTTTGTTGGCTTTTCTCCAGCCAGTAAGCTATACTCGAGTTGGAGCACTGTACGAGCGGAAATTTTACCATATTCAAATGTTGCGGCAGCCCAAAAGTAGGCAAGCAAAAATGTTTCTCCAGCTTGTAGATTAATTTAGGGTGAAATATCTCAATTAGAGATAGAAAAACTTGAAATTATACTTTTACTTACACCATATATTATTTAATATAATATATATTATTAATACCATATATATATGATATTTTCATATATTTTGTGTCATTATTTGTACCACATATCTTAACAATTCTCTCCCAGCCATAGCTACGCTTTGACAGAAAAGTTTCTATGACTTGCAGATCAAATTAAAATGAAGAAATATTTGTGCCATTAACTATTCATATTTTTTATTTTTATTAGAATTTCCAATCATTATCCTATATTTTTCTCTCATCTCTTCCATTGACTGTATCATTTATTGTACATTTCTTTCGTCTTTATCATTATTCACATGCCATATCGTACAGTTCATTCTTGTTGCAAGATCCAACCCAATTATCATTACCACATCACGGACGCATAACCAACAGTTTTACGTATCTTGGGGCTGCTGTCATTGTCACGCCCCAATCAACATAAATCAATCAAAATTAACACCAGAGACAAGTAGAAAATGTACACAGGACACAGCTCAGAGAGTCACACACAGAGAGAGAGAGAGAGAGAGAGAGAGAGAGGTAGAGAGAGAGGGTAGGATACAACAGGATGTGTACATATATAGGAACAAAGCAAAGGATGCTGCATAAATTGATGGCAGCAGCAGCAGCAGCAGCAGCAGCACTGGGCGACACAGCAACAATAGAACAAGGAACGCACATGTCCTTACAGCTAATTCAATTACAGCGGAGTGTTGTAGTAAGCCTAAGCAGCAGACAAGAGAAAGGGGAAAGAGCGAAGAAGAGATACAGCGAGAGAAAGGGAAACAAGACAGACAGGGAGAGAAAGCGAAACAAGATAGACAGGGATGGAGCGCAAGGGGAAACAAGAGATGCAAAATGAAAGAGATACGCAATGATAGACGGGGAGGGAGGGAGAGAGAGAGAGAGAGAGTGTAAAAGAGAAGGCCTGAACTGAACCATGTTTAAGTTTGCACTAAAACAAAAAGCCACACACACACACACACACAACACACGCATCCATCCAACATCCATGCAACATCCACCATGCCAGCATGCCCACTAATCCACACAAACAGATATTACGTATACGCAACACAGAAAAATGTATGTCGCGTTAATGCGAAAAGCTTGCAAAACATTTGAAGAATACGAGTATATATACATACAGCATAGCGCAGCATCTCTTACTCTCCATCCGCCCTGTTGTCCGGCATTGAAAATAATTGAAATATGGCATATATAACACTTAAACCTTTAAATTATGGACCCGCCAGCACACACACACACACCCGCACTGAGCGAGGCCGGTGATCAGCCGCAGAAGAGCGAGAGAGAGAGAGAGCGGAGTGCGGAGGCAGAGGTTGACCCACTTTGCTGGCCAAAAACTTTTGCACATCGAGCCTCGCCTCGCCTCGCATTCGTAGAGTCCTCCGCGGGGCACTAGTCAGGGGGGGGTGGCGCTATAATTGTCCGATGGGAATTTTTTGGGGGTGGCTGCAAGTCGTTTGGGGGCGCATTAAGTCGTTGTTGCTGCCTGCCTGCCTGCTGCCTACCGCTGCTGTTCTTTTGCCTGCCTGCTGCCGACTGCTTGCGAATTTTCGCACAAATGGCAAAGTTTAAGTGCTTGACAAGTAGAAGTTTAGTATGGTTTTAGAAAAGGTCAGGTTATACGGATTCTGGAGAGGCCCTACAACAAACAAAAGGGGCGGATATTAATAGAACCACAAAAGCCAGCACAGCAATGGTCGCTGGTCCGTACACCTTACAACGAATTTGTAGGAGATTAAGCTACAGGAAGGACATATTTTTTAGCTATGACATACAGATATGAACTATAAATCATAATTATAATGAAATTCTTTAAAAGACTTATTTTGGATTGTAGGAATTATTGTTTTTATAAACAAAATTTAATGGAAATGATTTTGATTTATCTTGTTGTTATTTTCAGGTAAGCGCAAGCAAATGGAAGTATAAAAGGTAAGAAAAATATTCATTAACTATAAATAATAATGAAATAAATTATTTTAGAAAATTAGCAGTTAAAAAACATAATTAAAAACGAGAAGGAACGTGTGAGTCGCTTCTTTGGACGCGACTCTACTTTTATACCCGTACTCAGTCAGTAAATAAATTTGTAACATGTTTATTTGAAAGGGTCATTATCTATTTATCTGCCAAATTTCATCAAGATCCCAATATTATATATCCCCAATAGTGGAGAAAATTGTGTAGTGCCCTTAATTTTCCAGATAAAGCATTGAAATATGAAATTTAATCAAGATACCATAACTATTACAACCAGAATAAGAAAATAAAATATTGTTCCTTTGGGTTTTGGTTTTCAAATTAAATTCTCTTAGTAGAATTAGCAGTATCTCTTAGCAGCCATATTCTGCACTCTCAATCAGTAGCTGAATTTTTGTTAGACTGAGCAACGTTGCAGCAGGAATATATACGAGTATTTCCTTCTCTAGCTCTACTTTTCCCCAAGAAATATTCTCTATGTGTGGGTGCGTAGGGTGCATGGGTTTTCGTGCATTTGCCAAGTCACAAGTCAAGATATCCTCCAATCGTTGTGTCGTTGTTGGGTGGGGTGGGGTGGTTTGTATGGGGCAAGGCAGCAGCAGCAGCAGTGAGAATAGCACTGAGAATATCGATTGCATGGGCAATCATAAGGCTGCCTAGATACCACCACTGCAAAGTAGTGCCGAGTGCTGAGTGCTGAGTGCTTGACGTTGGCTTAAGGATGATGCTTCAAGTTTATTTATTAGATAGATAAGAGTACAAATTGGCAATACCTATGACTATGATTACTATGATAACTATTGCTCTAGCTATGAGCTATGCAAAACATTAAGTCTTTTCTTTTCTTTCCTCTTTCCACTTTTATATTGGGAATTGGGTTTGGGTTTGTGTTTGGAACACACTTCTCTTGCGAGTAAACTTCCACTGCCCCTTCTCAGTATTCAATTGTCACACACTTTGTCTTCAGATACTCGTTGAGTGCCTCTTGACCCAAGTCCTTGCCATAGCCGCTCTGCTTGAAGCCGCCGAATGGCGCTGCCACGTCCGTCTTGTTGTAGACATTCACAAACACAGTGCCGGCCTCAATGCGGTCCGCGAAGCTTAGAGCCTTGCCAATGTCCTTGGTAAAGACACCGCTGGCCAGCCCGTACTCGGTGCTATTTGCCCGCTGCATGACCGAATCGATGTCGCTGCCATTGAACTTGGATATGATCATGATGGGCCCAAAGGACTCCTCCTGCGCAATGTACATATCATCCTCGACATTCGTGAATACCGTGGGGGTAAAGAAGTAGCCCTTGAGATTCGGCACACGACATCCGCCGTACACCAATGTGGCACCATCCTGCACACCACGCTCACAGAACTCCAGCAGCTTCTCGAAGTGTGCCTTGTGGTTCTGCGGGCCGTGGGCCGTCGACCGATTCAGCGGATCCCCAATGGTCATGGTGCGCAGATCCTTGAGCACACGTCGCACAAATTCGTCATGTATGCGATCCTCCACAAAGAGTCGCCCGGCAGCAATGCAGTTCTCGCCCTTGTTGAAGAACACCGAAGACATGCCCTGGAAAATAAACACACAAAAAAAGGGAGAGCTTTAGTTGGAGGCTTTCCCTGGTGCTTTTCTTTGGGGTTTTCTTACATGCTTCACCGCCTTATCCAGGTCGCAGTCCGCGAATATAATCAATGGACTCTTGCCACCGAGCTCCAGCGAACATTTCTTGAGATTCGAATCGGCACAGGACTTCATAATGTGCTTGCCAATGGGCGTGGAGCCGGTGAAGCCCAATTTGCGTACCAATTGATGATCGGCCACTGCCTGACCCGCATCGGAGCCCTTGCCGGGCAGCACATTAATCACACCTGGCGGGAAACCCGCCCGCACAGTTAGCTCGGCGAATTTCAGCGCCGTCAGGGGACACGTCTGGGCGGGCTTGATCAGACAGGTATTGCCGGCGGCAATACAGGCGGCCATCTTCCAGGACAGCATCATGAGCGGATAGTTCCATGGCGTGACCAGGCCGCACACGCCAATGGGCTCCTTTCGCGTGAATGTCAGCACATTGTTGGGTCGCGCAGGATTTACGGGCAGGGTGCTGCCCTGGATCTTGTCGCACCAGCCGGCAAAATAGCGCCAGGCATCGATGGACATGCCCACGTGCGTTTTCAGCGCCAGCGTGTAGACAGCGCCCGAATCCACCGACTCAATGGTGGCCAGCTCCTCCTTGTGGCTCTCCATGAGATCGGCCAGCTTGAGCATCAGCTGTCCACGCTGCCGGGCAGAGACCTGCTTCCAGGAGCCATAGAAAGCCGTGTGGGCAGCCTGCACCGCCTTGTCCACATCCTGGGGCGAGGCGCAGGCCACTTTGCACAGAACCTGCTCATCCGTGGGATTGACAATCTCCAGAGTGCGCTTGCCCTCGGCATCCACAAACTGCCCATCGATGAACAGCTGCGTGGGCACCTGAATCTCCCGTTTGTTTGCCTTGAGGGTGAAACCCTCGTAGATGAGCTGCTGACCAGCAGAGCCGCCACTGCCCTGTCGCAAGATTTTTACGAGCTGTCCAAAGAACTCCTCGAACACGGGCGCCATGAAGACATTGTCATTCTCCAGGGGCACATCGAATGCCTCCTTCACCTCCTCCACCAGACGCACCACATCCATGGAGCCAGCGCCAGCGGCAAAGAAGTCTGTCGCATCCTCAATGGGCTCCTTCAGGATGGCCTGCCAGATGCCAGAGAGCAGAGCCCGCTTCGACAGCTCATCCTCGCTGAAGTCGGTGATGGGCTGCTGCTCGGCCTGCTTGAACCATTCGCTGGCATTGATGACCTTTGAGCCGCGCTTGATGCGACGCACATTGACGAACGCCCCATCGGTGCCCTCGATGAGCAGTCCCGCGGTGTGAATCCAGGCGGGTTTCTTCAGACCCTTCAGACGCAACGGCTGGCCATGGGACACGGGTCCGGCGGAGTACAAATGGGCGCCAAAGAGACGTATCTGCTCCTCGGTGCCATCCTGCTGGATGACCGTGGCTATGGCCCCCGGCACAGAGTCCAAGCCACGCACAAAGTTCCATATGCGCGCCGCCGACTGCTGCAGATTGACCAGCTGATTCTCCGCCTTGAACATGGCCGGATCGTAGGTGGCACCGATCTCCGTTTGGGTTATCTTTGGCGCTGTGCCATTGGCCACCATATCGACGGCCACGCCCATGGCCTTGACGCCCTCGGGATACAGGAATCGCTTGTAGATGCTGTCCAGCGTGTCGGTTGGCTCCAGATTCGTCTGGCGCGTCAGCAGCAGTGGTCCAGTGTCCAGGCCATCGTCCGCCCAGAAGATACTAAAGCCGGCCACCTCATCGCCCTCAATGAGCGTCCAGGAAATGGCACTGGCACCGCGATGGCGCGGCAGTATCGATGGATGGTAGCAAATGCTGCCCAATGGGGCACCATCAATCACCTCCATCGGAATGAACTGCGAACAGTACGGCAGCACATTCAAGGTGGCGCCCACCGATTTATATTGAGCCAAGACCTTTGGCAGGGCCACGCCCTTCAGCCGCCAGCTGCTAAACTTGAAGACGGGTATCTTGTGGGCTGCGGCAGTGGCGGCCAGCACATCCTCGCGACTCCCCTTGTCCGGTATGGTGAAGACACCCACAATTTGTACGTTCGCACGCTCCAGCAGCAGCTCCAGAACGTCGGCAGCAAAGTTACTCTGGCCAATGATGGCAATGCGAAGTTGAAGCTGTAGTAAAGAGCGGTTTAAAGAGAGGGGCAAAGAGTTAGTTTGTGTTCGCTTTGCAGAGGCAGGCAGTTAGGAGCTCTGTAGTGGTGTCAAAGAGGTGGATTTTCATGCAGCTATGACTCTATCCCTAAAATACTATTGCTTGAGTGGTTTAACGATGCAAGGGGAACTCCAATTTTCGGTTGAAACTTTTAGAAACCATTTTAAACTTTTTAGAGAGCTCATGGGCGCTAATAGAATCTCTATAGGTCGCGCCACGTAGGACAATTATGCGGTCCATGAAGCTACTTTGCATTTCTTATGTGCAATAAGCGAAAAGGGAGCCCAAAAAGTCCAATAAAATGTGTGCATCTAAGCACTGCTGTGATATTTCATTGAAATAAAGCATAGACACCTATTTAAGCCAGCTCTACTTGACCATTTTCTGCTTGTTTGTTAAGAAAATTCTATAAGAAATCAGAACATTTCTACACAACTTTTTCCATTTCAAAAAAGCAATTAAATATGAGCCATTTTAAACACAAATAAGCAGTAGCAAATAAACTATGAAAATTAAATGAAAAATAAAAGCAAATTCTATAAGAAATCAAAACATTTTTCCACAACCTTTTCCATTCAAAAGAGCAATTAAATATGACCCAATTTAGACACAAATAAACAGCAGCAAATAAACTATGAAAAATTATGTTTCAGTGCAATAAAATACTTTTAATTTGCTTTTAGCATTATTATTCTGCCATAAATTCTAAATAGACTGCACTCTTTATATGAATTAATAAATTAATTTAATCACTAAACCGCCAAAAAGGCATTCAAATAAATTTCAATATTCTTTGCAGCAAAACTTTGAATTTCCATTGCGGATGTATTTTGTAGTGTAATAAAACACTTTTATTTTGCTTTTAATATTATTATCTATTCATAAAATAAAAAATAAATAGCCTGCACTTAATTCGCTAAGCCGCCAAAAAAAAAAAAGCATTCCAAAATCCAATTAAAATATATCTCTACGAGTATTATCTTTGCAGCAAAACTATAAATTCGCATTGCTCCAAAAATCGATTAGGGTTTGGCATTAATTTCGATTTGCTTTGATTTGGGTTTCTGATTCTCTGCCAAAATCTGCTAGCACGAATTTAACTCAATTGCAAACTTAAATAAGATTCAAATTTAATTCGAATATGAATATGAATTTCGATTGTGAATACTAACAGCCATTTCTTGTGTATTAATTGCACAGCAAAATCTCCAAACTGATTTTCACTTCAATTAAACTGTAATTAATTTTCACTTTATAGTTTTCACTTTTCACGCTATATTTTCACTATTTTTATGCATGCCCCAACCGCTTGGAAGGCCGGCAAACTATCAACTGAAATTCAGTGTGAAAACCGGGTGGTATTTATACCTTGGTGCCACACGAGCTGCTCATTATCGTTATCAACTTGATTTGATTATAAAAAAATGAAACCTAAAAAAAACTACAAAAAGCAGCATAGACATGCGCTGCCAGCGCCGTGCCCCAGTGCGCCAATGGCTCTTTGTTTTGGGGCTCACTTCACATACATTTCATAATTAAATCAGCGACAACGAACTGCTTATCAATCTCACAGCTAAAGCAGAGAGCTGCACCACCAGCAGCAGCAGCAGCAGCAGCAGCAGCACGAGCCGCGGTGTGTGTGCATGTCGATTTGGCATGATCAGAGGGCCGGACTTTTTTTTACATTCTGGGGAATATACAATCGACAAGTGTCTGGGCATCAGATGGGTTTTCACTGTAAGGGAATGTAATCCAAAGCGAAGTTGCAGCTGTGATTCACCTGTTGGCTTGAATTGAGTTTTCCTGGGGGTTTTGGGTTGCCATCGACAAGGAAAAATATGGCAAAGGCTGCAGTAAACACTGGCACTCAAAAATATTAGACGAAGCGCAGCTGCAGCTCTAAACAGTGGCCTACCTTAATATTAGGCATGATTAAACAGTGATTTATTGAAATATTGTGAACGGCTAAGGTAAACAAAAGCTAAGACAGTGGCTTCCGCTAATATAAGAATTCAATAGACTGCATTTTGCTTTACATTTTAGTTAATAAATTTCCCTAAATGGAATCATAATTATAATTATCCAAGCTAGCAATAAACCTAGCAGCCATTTAGCTAATTAAAAACTACGAGCACTATATTCGGTACTATCAAACCTTAAAGATCTTTCGCCATCAGCAGTACTTGTGTTGCACCTGTCCTGTCCCCTCTATACAGTTGTGAGGCAAGCACACCTGGAGAAGGATCATCCTCATCATCATGCTGTACCGCCTGCAGTCCTGCCTCAAGTATTTTGCCTTTTTGGGTCTGGTACCCTGGACAGAGAGCTGCCGACCGTGTCAGTATTTTCAAAAGATTTATTCGCTATTTTTAATATGCACAAATCTCGCGATATTCTTTGTGGAAATTGAAGTACCACAAAAAGATTCACTGCTGCTGTCGCTGCTCGTTAGCATGATTGTGTTTATTGCAAAGATTACGTGCATGACGGTCATACTGCTGCAGCTGATGTGCCAGTACCCCGGATATTATGGATACTGTGAGGAGTTTAAGCGCCTAAGGGAGCGCCTGGAAGTGCAGCTAAAGATGGGCGCGTTGGCATATCCCCGCAGGCGTTACATTAAAATTGTAGTACTGGGCATGGCCAGCCTGGGGACAATGGCTATTGTGATTTATACATCCTTTAATGCACGCTTGATCTACGTTTGGTCCTCGTTGGTGGCCACCCTCATCATTCGATGGCAGTGTGTGCTGCTGCTGCTCTATGTGGACTTAATGGGCTTCCATGTGGAGCTGCTGGGCAAACGCATACGGGATGTGCTGCACTGTCATTCGATGGGTGGAAATTGCTTGCCGGATGGCAACTGCAAGCAGCTGTGCTCCCTGGAATTCCTACTCGAGCTGAAGCAAAGCCACATGCAGCTCTTTGAGCTTTTCGGTCATTTCAATGATCTCTTTGGCTGGTCAATTTTGAGTATATTTGTGGTAATGTTCATGGATGGCACGGTGAATGTGTACTGGACCCAACAGGTCCTGGCAGGTGCATATGAGTATGTGTATCTTTTTGCCTCACTATCGTATGCTCTGCCATCATTGGCTTTAATTTTGGCTTTCTGCAGATGTGGCGAGTACTGCAAATGGCAGGTGAGTCAACTCTAAACAGCATGCAATTTTTCGATCCATTTCTCTCGCGCAGCACATGCTCATTGGCAGCCATGTTCGTGCCTTGGCATACACTCCTGCCCCACAGCCATCGAAGGAGCCCGCGTACACTGAACTGCTGACAGAATTTACCATGCAAGTGGAGCACAATGCATTGGCCATTAACGCCGAGGGTTTTATGCTCATTGATAATTCACTGCTCATGTCGGTGGGTAATATTTTGAATTTTTGTTGTCGAATGGAAAAACTCTTCAAGTGTTTTACTCTCCTTTGTTTAACTCTTTCAGATGTTTGCTGCCATGGTAACATATTTGATTGTTTTAATGCAATTCAGTGCATCGTAGCAAATTGATGAAAAAATATTTAAAACTGATATTAATGAATTTATCGCTTGGGAAATATTCTGCTCCTGCAGTTCACTTAAAACTTTATTTAGGCACCTCAAACCTATTTAAATGGATTATTTTGATGCACTGAAATAAAACTGAAATGAAAACTGAAATAAATTATTATTTAGCCCCCCATATTTAACCTCTCTAGAGGCACTATTCTCATACCTCGTAGGTGCAAAGCATGAGTTATGTTTAAAATTAAAATAAATATTTATTTAAGCCCTTAAAACATCTCTTGATATCTGCAGCACATGAAAGCTAGCACCTAGCAGCGTTAAATCATAGAAAATAATATTCAAAACTAAAATCAATGAATATTTAGAGCTCTAGAACCTCCAGTTCACATTTTCCCCTTTTAGTTCCTAATAGGCGAAAATCATCAAAAATAATGTTCAAAAGTCAAATAAAAAATTTTGTAGACTCCTGCAAGCTCAAGCTATCCAACATTGACCCATTTGTATTTTTATTTTTGTTCTGCAAGAGCTAAAACAATCTTTAGATAAGATTATGTGGACAGCAAAGTGTCCAAAAACCAAACTGTATCACACCTGCCCAAATGCGAAACGAAAAACCAGTTGAAACCAGTAAAAGAACTCAACCAAAGTAAAGATTATCTTATCGTTGAATTTGTGATTAGTCCAAAATTACATATATATATACGCGTATATTCGCACGATTTCTGGCAGTGCAATGGAAATATTATGCATAGGTAACTTATGCTATCGCGTGTTGATTGTGGGCCACAGCGAATACGAGTACGAATACGAGGTAACAATAAGTAATATCTGAACATCTGCCTCCAAAAATAAAAGTAACATCTGATCGCATGACACCAAAAAAAAAATTGCTAGATCATCAGTTGTCAGGGGCACACCTCGGGGGGGTCTAATACGAGTACTGGGGCGCCATTATGCAATTTAATCTTTGAGTATTGTATATATATATATACATTTTTTGTTTTCGGGTATAAATAACATTTCGAACACGCATTCAGCGACTGCCCTGGTGGCCGCTTGAAATGGTGACATTTCGGGGATTAAACTGTAAATAATCGCTTGGTAATGCTGGAATTATACCCCAGAGTAGGTTCTAGCCTAGTGATAACCCAACCGATTGGCCTCTGGTTTAGACGACTGGACTTGTCGCAAAACAAATAACGTGAAACCGGTTTGCTGGCTGCCCGACAAAGGCCCTCGAACCGGTTTCAAGTGGTTCAAGATGTGCCAATTTTGATAGGCACTCGTATCACTGCTACCCCGGGGCAAATGTTCCATCGATTGTCCCGCCTAATCACTGGGAGACTTCGCAAGTGTTTTCACTCGATTGTATGAACGTTTGAGGCGGTTTAAACTGGTTTTCCAGTCTGAACTTTCCAATCCCCCTTATCGATTAAGCACCAAAGCCAATAAATTTACAATTTTTTGAATGCTCTCATCCATTTGCAGGAAGTGCGAAAAATTTAATATACATTTTAAAACTGATTAAAAACTAAACAAAAGAAATGAATGAATGCATCTATTGGTAGGTGACTTGGGCCTCAACGGTCACCTCTTTGATGACCACATTGCCATCATCGCTTAGCACATCCACATGGAATTCCATTTGTTCGGTTTTGAGCGTGGCTTCGGTGGAGTTAGCTGTGGATTCTGTGGCTTCTGGGGATTCAGAGGGTTCAGTGTCCTCAAAATAGTCAAATTTTACAAATTTTGCAGGTGTGTGGGAGCATTCTGTTGGTGTTTTGTTGTCTGTGTTGTGCAAATTAGCCGTGTTTGCTGGATTTTCTGCAGTTTCATCTTTTTCCTCTTTGTTTTCTTGTGTTTCAATGTGTTTTATATCGTTTTGCTTTATCAAGTTCTCTGCATGGCCATCGCCTATATTCGAATCATCTGGATTTATCTTTTGGCATTCACTAATTGGTTTTTTATTCTCTGAATCGCCAATGTCAGAGTTGTCTTCGGTCTTTAGCTCAAGGAAAGCTTTTCCATTCTGTTCAAATAAGTTCTGATGCAGATTCCAATCTGAAATTAAGAGTTTTACTTAAATAAAATGCAGTTTTTGTTGCTGCTTTGCTGCTTACCCTCAGGGATATCTTCCAATTGTTTGTTTGGCTCAGTGATTGCTGCTTCAGCGAGGTTCTGCTTTGGTGTTTGTTGGTTTTCTTGCTTCTCTGAAGTTTCTTCCACAGCGCCCTCCAATTGCGTCTGTGACTCTTCTTCAAAGTTCTCCAAACCAGCAACATCATTCATAATATCCTCCTCATTCTCCTCGCCATCACTTTCGCCGTATTCGTGACTCTCCAGCTGCGCCATGGACTCGGGATCGAGAAATTCCTTCAATCTGGATGCTATTTTTGCCCACTTATCTTTGGCAGTTTCCACCAACGGTTTGTCCTCGCCCTGTTCCTTGCCCTTTTCTGTCTCGGTCTGTGGCTCCGCCTGCGCCGGGCCAGATTCCAATTCGGTTGCCGTTTCTTTTCCATTATCTTCTTGCGGCATTTTCTTTACGTTTTGCATTATTTTGCGCAGACCTCGACGTGTCTTGGCCTCATTCTCACGCACCATGCGCATATCCTCCTCGAAGCCCTCGTAGTAGTAGGCTTTGAGCATTTCGGGTGGCAGTTTTGGTGGCTCTACAACGGCCATTTCGTCGTCGGACGAATAATCGGTTGTGAAATCGGATGGGGCATCATCGTCATCAATGTCCTCATAGCCGATGAGTGGGTGCATTGCTGGAAGTTTTGGATATCTTTCTGTGGCTTGGGGAACACTTCCTTTTGCTGCTTGGAGATCTTTTACTTCTGCTTCTTGGGTAACACTTGCTTCTGCTTCTGGGGAAACTGTTTCTTCTCCCTGTGCACCTCCTTCTTCTTCTCCCTTTGCACCTCCTTCTTCTCCCTTTGCACATCCTTCTTCTCCCTTTGCACCGCCTTCTTCTTGTTCAATGATTTCTGTTATGGACAAAGGACTCCAGCGCTGATACAGCATAGAACCCTCACCCACCGAAAGTTTAATGGAAGCTGAATCCTGCTCCTCCTGCTGCTGCTGCTGCTGCTGCAGCTTCAGTGCTTCCTCTTCACGTGCCTGCTCCTCTTGCTCCTTCATGCGTTGCATCATTTTGTTCAACAATTCGTTTTCCCGCTCCACCAGCGGATCGTCGCTGGGCTTGGCCTTGGCCTCCAGCTCCTCATTGGAGGAGAGCATCGCCTGCAGCATTTCGTTCTCCTCGCTGGTCAGCTGCAGCTCTGTGGCGCCCGACTTCATGCAGGCCTTCAGCTCGTTGTAGCTGCGCATGCATTCGGTGGCAGCCTCCGCATTGTTCGCCGTCGTCACCTTATCGAGATCTAACTTCTGAAAGAACTCCGTATCGAGGTTGCCAAATGTCTGCTTGGCCTCCAGCGAGAAGAATTCCTCCTCCAGGCTTTCATTCTCCTGGCTGTCATCGGCTGGCAGTTCAGTAAACTGTTCGGCCAGACAGCGCTGCATGGCCTCGTTGACCAAATGCTCGGCCGATTTGCGGGGCTTTGGCTCGTACGGTGTGGTCCAGGGGGCACGTGGATTACTTTCATGCGCGTCTTCGTCTGCAGTGTCATAGACATCATCATCGTCCTCCTCCCCCTGCTCTGATTCCGAGTCACTGATCAGTCCCGGCGGCGGTGGCAGCTCCTCTAGTTCACCCGTGTCCTTCTTGACGATCATCAGACGATTGTCCACGACCTCCAAGGTGTCATCGTACTTCTCCCGCTGGGCAAAGCAGCGTGCCGCCGAGGCAGCCACATGCCGCTTGCGCTTGGCCTCATCCTTGGCCAGTTGGGCATCCAAACTTTCGGGCGTGTCCTTGCTATAGTCCGCCAGGCACTTGGACTGCAACAGCGCCTTGGCTGCGCGTATTTTCTCCTTGTTTGTGGAGGACACAGGCCTGGGTGCGGTAGCGTCCGCCCGGCTGGCTAGGAACTCCTTGAACGAGTCCACACATTCGCGCATACTCTTGCCACCCGCTGGATTCTCTAGATGCGGCGGCACCAGCTTCTCCAGCTTTGGCTGCTCCGAGTAGCTGTACTCGTCGTCGGATTCAAAGGGACCCAGCGGATAGCTGTTGGGACCCATTTCCGTGATGTCCTTGTAGATGACATCGCTGATCAGATCGTTGAGCAGCGAGGCACACACCATCTGCGAGTGCGAGTCCTCCGAGCTGAAGGACTCCTCATAGTCCACCTCCGTCTCAATGTTGTACAAAATCTCATTCTCGCTCTCCAGCTCAGAGAGCAGCTGACGCAGGGTTTCCTCCTCGCCGGCCAGCTTGCGATCCAAACTGGCGCAGATTTCCTCCGCCTGCTCGGCGCTGCTCAGCTCTGTCAAGGGTCGCGTCAATATATCATCATCATCATCATCATTGGCTGAGTGTCCGCCCTCTTTGATGGCGTCCTCCATGGCAGTCAGTGGCAGCTGCCGCATGCACTCCTCCTTGTCCCAGTCCTTGCTGGGCGTATCGGAGCCAGCGCCGAACACGCGCTTCGGCACATTATCCGTGCAATCGTCCAGGATCTTGGCAAAGAGATCATAGCGTTGTGTCAGATCGGCCAGCTCTGCCTTTGTGGCTTCGTTTTTCTCCTGCAGCTGCTTTCGCTCCTCCATCGCCTCCTTGAGGCGCTGTTTGCGTTCCTCGAATTGCCCCTTTAACAGTTCGGACTTTGCCTCCAATTCGGTCTCTGTTAGCTCCTCATCCGACTCGGACAGACCCTCCGTGTGCTCGGTGGCACTCAAGTTCTCCGTGTGCTGGCGCAGCTCCTGCAGATCCTCATCCAGGTGGCTGCCCATTTCGGCCAAATCATGGGCACACTTCTCGCTGGCATCGGCACACTCCTGCTCCCAATCCAATTGCTCTTGGCTTTTGGGCTGCAGCGAGAACTCCTCCATGAATTCCTTATACAAATCCCTGGGTGTGGTGGCTGTCTCCTGCTCGCAGCAGACTTTCGCCGCCAGTTGGTATTTTGTGGTGCTTTCGTTGAGCAACTGATCGATGGACTGCGAATGTTCCGCAAACATTTCCGAGCCGAAACTCTCGTACATTTCATCGACGAGTTGGGATTTTATTTCCTGGGGCGTGGGATCTGCGCCATCCTTGTTGCCTTGGGCCACATGGAGCAGCGTTTGGCATGTCTGCTCCAGATCTGCGCTGTTATCCAGCTCTGAACCGCTGTCTGATTGCAGCAAAGGCGGTGCCTCTGTGGTGCTCTCGGATTGAAGCAAAGGCGGGGCCTCTTCAGCGCTGTCTGATTGAAGAAGTGGCGGCTCCGCGGCGCTGTCTGACTGTAGGAGTTCTGAGGCGTTTGGAACTGGCTTTTCCATGAGGTTTAATTCATTAATGTTTGCATCATCCAATTGTTTACCAATTGCTTGCATAATTTCTTCCTTCTTTTCAACAAGATCAAGATCAGGCTGCTTTCCCTCAGCAGGCTGCGAGCTAAGCAGCTCCTCCTTTATTGGCTCGCTAGCATCCATTTCTTCTATAAGTATTCGCTTGCCCTGGGGCTGCTCCATCGTTTTGGATGGCTGTGTGTTCTGCTGCTCCTTTACAGCTTCATTTATATTATTCTCATCGGCTGTGACGGGTTTGTCAACGCTGTCGGGATCCTTAGCTTCTGCTTTCTTCTTTATTTCTTCTGTAGGAATTATCTTGCCTGAGCTATCCAGATCTTTCTGTTCTTTTTCCTCTTTGTTTTTGACAAGTTGCTCAATGCTTTCCACGTCGCCCGCCACGGCCTCATCGTACAGCACCTTAGGCCTGCCCTCTAGAGGCTTTGCACGACGATTACTGATGCGCTCGGCAATGTGATCCGCCTGCGAGCCAGCACTTTCACTCTCCTCCGCCGATGTGGAGCTGGTTGGGCTATGCTCCGAGGCCTGACTCTCACCAGAGACCTCGTCCCACATGTCGTCCACACAACCGTATTCCATTTCGGCTCGCTTGCGTGTCTTTTCTGCATCCGCAATGCCCTTCTGCTCCTCCTCGGAGTCACTGGAGTGGAGTAGTGGCAGCTGGTCTTCGGGTTTTAGATGGCTATTGCGCATGCGTATGGTACCTGGGAGTGGAGGATAAGATTTAGGCTACTATTTTGGGTTTTCCAATGGGGTTTTCTCTTACTGTTGACGCTGTCGCGCGTCTTGCGACGCTCGGCACGATTCCAGCGTTGGTTTTCTTTGCGTTCGCCTTCGTAGCCGTCGCGTTTCCTGCAAGATAAAGCCATTTTATATGCCATTCTCTATAAGAACTATTTATCAGTCTACCAGGCCTCGGCACAGGCGCGATCACGTGCAAACACAGGACGACTATCCAGGTACGTGAGCTCTTGCTGCAACACAAAAAGCAAACCATAAACAGGAGTACCCACACCATGGCTGTAAAGAACTGCAGCTTACACAGGCCAATATCAACGTTTTGCGATACTGCGGCAGTCGGGAGACCACGGGATTGCCCTGCAGCACCAGCACCTTCAGGCTGGGCATTTGTTCGAATATTTTCACAATCAAAATGTCATCGATGCGATTGTTGGCCAAATCCAGCACCGACAATGTCTTGCACTCGACCAGAGCAGCCAAACTGGCGCTGTCCGTCAGATAGTTCGATGTTATGTTGAGGGTATTCAACACCGGCAGTATATCCGTGCCAATATTCTCTATTTTGCGTATGTGATTCTGGCTAACATTCAGCGTATCCAACTCCCGACAGCACTCCAGATTCTCCATTTTGGTTATCAAATTGTTCTGCAGATACAAACACTTGAGTTTTGTGAGCTTCGTTAGGTTCTGTATCTCCGAAATGGCGTTGCTCTCGAGCCAAATGCTCTTGAGTTCTGTGTACTCATCCAGGTTCTCTATGCACTGATAGCCTGCAACGGAAAAGTGTCAGTGTTTGGCCATAAAGTTGACGCACAAATACTTGCCCTGAAAGTGCAAGTAGAGCACATCGTTGAGCCGTGGCGTTTGATATAATTTGTCCCGCTTGCATATCTCCCTGAGGCCCTTGGCGGTAATGCGATTCAGGCCGGTTACCTCCTCGTGGCGTCGTGCGTAGCCCGGCTCGCACATTGCAGCTTCGTTCTGGTTCTCCTTTAGAAATTTATACAATATATTCGCAGAAGTCTCTATAATATTTGAAATGCTTTGAATTTTATTAACACTACTATGAACTATGTGATTTGTTGAAAAGCACAAAGCACTAAATCGACAGAGGGATACTCGTTTCGATTGTTTTGATTGAACAAACAAGCAGCCTGCTACTGTTGTCGATAGCAACGCTTGATTTGTTGCAGCTGCAACTCTGCAATCGTAACTGTACTGTTTTAAAACACTATTAAAAAAAGGGTTGCCAGTGGCAACTCCTTGAAAGGGAAGAAATGAAATGAATGCAAATTGTTTCCAATATTTCAACTGAAATAAATATATACGCACATATATAGATGTAATGCAATTTCGATACTCTAAGCTCTGTCCATAAGCTCCATAAACTGTCCTCTGATCGCTACCTAGCGTACATTCTTTTTTTTTAACTTTGCGAAAGGAAAATAGTAATGGACTATTTTCACGTTCTTTCTATTTAAAAATGGAAATTGATGACTACTTTTACAATTTCCTTACGAAATTAGTCTTCAAATCTTATACAACTCTGGAGTAGTCTGCTGAATATAGATATTATAACATCTGCTAAAATAATTATTAATATGAGTTTTTCTAGTTCCTAGTTATAAAAGTGTATTCCTATTAAATCCTTCTATAATGTATATTCCAAGTTTATATTTTCCATTTAAAATTGTTCATTTATTTAAGTTAATGTTCTCAGTGCTGCACACAGTTGTTGTTCTTTTGTTTTTAACACAGATTCAAATACAAGAATACAAATACAAATACATATTAAAAATGCATATAAGGTTTGCTGTTTGCTAATTACTCAGTTTAACACATTCTGTTGTAGACAATTATTTATGTATTGTGTATTGCAAATATGCCGCTTGTGTGATTTTCAATTAATTCAAACATCGATTCAATGTTCTTTGATCGTCCATTATTAAAGCCTCGGTAGATGCAAAATGCCAGCTGCACAAGATCTGTGCTATGCAGAATGCAATGCGATTGTTTGTTCGATCTCAAATGTAAATTCGATATTGAAAGCATTTTTCCATGCATGTACATATGTATGTATGAGTATATTATAGATTTAATTATAGTATATATATATGTGTTTGCTTTGTGTGTGTGTGTGTATGTGGAATATAGTGGCTATATAATTCATAATAGGTTTAATCGTAATGTAATAATAGTTTCTACTGACGAATGAGTACACATAGATTTTTTAAAATAAGGTTCAACTGGTGGGGGGTTTTCTAGGGGCGGGGGAGTTGGGAATAAGCCACATTACATCCCCTGCATATACATAAAAATACATACATATATATACATATACGTATGTATTTACTAAATGCACAAAAAATCTTAGAAAAAATTGTATATATATAAAATCGTTGCAAGGACACTTTTCTGATCGAAATGAGTGAGAATATTTGAATGGATATTTGATAGTACATAATTCGATATGTATATGAGAATATGTGATGTGGTTGGATTTGGCATAAGGAAAATAATATTTCTTGAACAAACATTTTCTTTAATTTTCATTTGAGTGAGCAAATGTGTTTTGCCCTCGAGAAACTTAAGCTTAAATTTGTGGCCAAACATTAACCAAGAAATGCGGTAACAATTAAAAATTAACAAATGCTCAAATACATGTGATTAAAAATGTCTAACAAAAAGGAATGTTCAGGAAAAAAACTGGGCAGATAAATGTTTCTAAATTTAAGGCAATAATAAATACGAGTATTTAAAAATCGCATGGGCAATATTTTGATGACAGATTCAGACTTCAGTGGGCATATGGTAGGTATGTGGCTTTGTGTGTGTGTGTGTTTTTGTGATTGTTTGTGATTCAGAGACGGCAACGAGAAATCTTTTCGCATGCATATGACAAACTACAAACTACGAAAATTGTTCACTGATTCGTTCATTCTTCTTGATGCTTCCGGCTGCTTCCGGCCGCTTCCGGCTGCTTCAAAGTCGACAGACGGGATCATCGCTGCGCAATCTAAACGTGATCGTAGCTCCGGCGAAACGAACGATACAGGCAGCAGGCAAAGAGTATGGTCAAAAGCTGTGGGGTACAAAACGTCATAGAATAGAAAATCCACATTGAAAAGTGCCTTCCACTCACCTGTATACCCGCCACGGCCAGCACCACAGCGGCCAAGATCAATGTCTTCGAGTCCAAGATGCCCAAGAGCTTCTGCAAGCAGCCATTCTGTGTGGCATGCACCACAGTGCATTCCTTGGCCTCGCTCAAATTGATGACAGAGCAGCATGCCGGCGGCAGGGTCTTATTGGGGTAGATAAATTCCCAATCGTTGGGTCCATATGTGCCGCAGCAGTCCAATTCCGTTTGCAACAGGGTCCAGGCATCGCGATAATCCTCACGCTCCTTATAGTGGCGCATGGTCGAATTGAATTGTCCCTCCATCATCTGCTGCAAGCCCGAGTGCTTCACATACCCAGCCACGCCCAGGCCTATTTCGAGCAGAAATATGACCACGGCGAGTATGGCAAAGCTGAGGATCATGCAGCTGCTCTCCTTCAGGGCACCGCAACAGCCCAGGAAACAAATGACCGCCACAGCGGCGCCCACGATCATCAGTATGATGGGCGCCGTCCAAATATGATCGCTAACAAAATTCGAATAGTGGGCATAATTCATTTGGACCATGCCACCCACCAGAAAGATGAGCAGACCAGTGAGCTGATTAAAATCGGAAATTAATGTCCAAATTCAATTCAAAATGGGAAGCAGAGAGCACTTACCGCAAATAGTAGATTGCAAAAGAATGTCAAATATTTGACACATGCCAAGCCGCCGGATGCCATTTTGCTATAGAAATTCGTACAACGTCTCTCGCGTTCGCTCTGATTCTTGGTACTGCAAGAAAGGGAATGAAGGGACAAAAAATATTAACCGATTCGCCCTCAGGACACACACAACGCTCGGCACATCAATCAATAAAACGCTGGTCAACCGCAGACACAAACACACACACAGACACACTCATGGGGTCTAAAAAGGAAATCCGAGTGGCTACCATCCCGAAGCCAACCCCCAAATCACAGAAAATACACGCAACCAGAACACTGGACGGACTCTGGTGTCTCCTCTCTCTCTCTCTCTTCTGCTTCACCTGTCGTCTGTCTGTCTGTCTGTGGATTAACCCCTACATATAGCAGAACCTCCCCCCCAACAACCTTTCTGGGCACTTCACTTCCCATAGAGCGAAAGTTGTCAAGTGCAGAAATGCACGTTGGATGGCAAGCAAAGGCCCAACACAAGGCCCTTTTCGCATTGAGTGCATTTGCTGCCATTTTCATTTCATTTTCATTCCCATTTCACGTTTCATTGTATTCGTTTGGCCCAGTTTTAGGCGCATTATTATTTGTTATTACATATTACCCGTATATGTATGTATTTTTTTTTGTATTTTTGTATTTTTGCAGGCGGTGTGGGTGTTGGTGTGGCTGGTGGCGAAAGTGCTCCCTATGTAAGTATTTGTTACAAGGACGACCTGCTTTTGCAGTGCAACCACCCCACGGAATCGATTAGTAGTAGTACCCACGAGTAGATAACAGCAGCAGCAGCAGCTATAGCAACTAGCAGTATAAACACCATGTAACAACTGCACTTATACAGGGGGGGCCTTTCAATTTGGATTATTCACAGCACTTTATCGCAATTGCTTGATAAGGAAATAACCAGAATGTATGGCGACATGGTGACTCTTCCACAATCAAAATTAAACAGTGAACAAAAAGACTGTCTTCGAGGGGTAGACGTGGAGGCAAGTCATAGTCATAGCCCCATTTGAAAAGAATTGGTTTAAGCTTCCTTGAAACTTATTTTAAGGTAAGCTCTCTCCTACTCTGTACAATATTATATTATCCAAATGTCAAAGATATTAACAAATCTCGTGCGCCTCGATAGAAACGATTTCTAAGGGTTTTTCGTGCATTGTTGTAAGTTAATCGCGATTGTAACTTTAAAACCTGACCAGACAAAGCAAAATACTGCACAAATATCACGCCATTTAAACATATTAACAATTAATTAATTAATTAATCTTATCTTTTTTGTATCGTACCATTTCTCAAAGCTATAGACTGATTTCATGGCGAAGCCTGTTTAAACTTGGATACTCGCGATAGCAAAAATTAATGCATACTGATGTTAAAATTGAAAGCAATCAAGCTTTTTATGGGCTACTAATTGTTTGCAGTCTTCTTATCTTATCTTATCTTATCTTATCTTATCTTATCTTATCAACAGGTATTCTCTAACAGAATAAAATTTGTACTCTTCAATTAGCAGGGGTCACTGGTCCAATTACTCATTCGGTTGCTATCGGTCAATTCATAATTGTCAATTGTTGGTTGCAATTACTCATTCGGTTGCTATCGGTCAATTCATAAGTCGCAGCCACTAGAGAATATATTTTAATGTTTAAGTAGATTTTTCTTCGTCTGTTTAGTCTAAGCAAATTATGTTCATATACTCGTATGCCACACCGATCAGATCAGATCAGATCAGTTTGAACTCTTCAATTAGCAGGGGTCACTGGTCCAATTAGTTGATTGACACACACACAGCAGGGTGTGGGCTGTGCCCTCCTGCCATGGGGGCATAATATGCTACACATGTACATACATATCTAACATCATCCCACCAAAGCGCATAAAAGTGGAAAGAGACCGAAATCGATCGTTTTGAAATTGTGTCAACGGTGGCAAAAAAAAAAAAAAAGTGGTTAATAGCCACTGGTCACCGCGGCTGGGCTTCATTAAATAAAGGCCTACTCGCTTCGCTCTCTTTTCTCTCTCTCTCTCTTTCTATCTATAAAAGAAGCCGAGTGAAAAGTTTCACCTGTCGCACACGGACGCCAAAGTGGAGGAGTAATCAAATATACATTTCATTCACCCACGCGTAAACAGGACGATAAAAACACCGCCACTGGCTGTCAATAAACCTTTTTGTTGTAGATGGCGGCGGTGTTGGCCAGCACGGACAGTGGCTACAAAATAAAACAAATCTTATAAAACATGAATATCGTTGTTAGAGCAAAGAAAACCCCAAACTATTTGATTCGTTAATATTGATATATTGAAAAACGCTCAGATTTCTCTAGCACAATGATTAAGATTTACAGGGGCATACGTTATTAATTAAAACCTATGACCCTGTAAAGCTCAATCATTATTTGGATTTATTCTACGTTCAATTAAATGGAATTGAAGGGCTAGCTACCCAGTACCCAGAAATGCCACAAATAATATAATTCATAATTTAAGCAGACATTTTCACATTCAATATATTTTGTTTCTCAGTTCTTCTCCCATGTGCGAATATTTCACAATTTATTTTAACTCTTGCAAAAAGTCGAATCTCAAATTTCGCAGCCTTGTATATTTCTGTCATTTGATAAGCCCTCGGGCTCCACTGTGGCTGTTCTTTCACCCACTTCGTGCGGGGTGCTGGTGGAGCAATTATATATGGGGGAAGCTCCCTGGCTTGGAATGGGACGATGAAGGCGGTCAGTGGGCCCTGTCCCATTGAATACAGGGATATATGGATGTATGCATGTGTGGATGTAGGTACGAATGCATGTGTGCATAATGATACACCTTTTTAGGTTGCGTGCCATCGACTAATTCCGGAAATCTACCCATAAGCATGGGTGTCCGTCCCCCCAAAACTGACCCTTTGAGCTATTTTTATACAACTTTACTTGCCCCAAAAGTAACAACGCAAAAGAAGCAAAGGAAAGTGTTTGTTTGGGGCCCCAGAAATGAGAACAATCGAAACCAAGTCTCTGGTGGATTCCGCGAGGGGTTAACAAACTGCAGCGAACTCATGCGGCAAGCGCCACACAGAAAAAATGCAGTCTCTTTTTTTTGTAGGTTTAAATATTCACGCTATGCGGCGGCTGGGCCTGGGCTAGGCTAGTGTTTTCTATGTATAACTAGTTCCATACATACTCCAAATTCCTAGATTTCTCTCACTTCGCAGGTAGTGGATGCCATGCCCCCCGCGACGAGAAACAGAACAAAAGAGATGAGGAACAAAAGGCCAGCAAAGTAGAACGGAAGGAGGTAGTGAACCTGAAACGAAGAAAAATAACTGCACATTCGTCTCGTCTGATACACTGTTGAACTGCTTTGCTTGCTGTGTTCCCATCTCGTTCTGGCGCACTGACAACTCCACACATACACACAATACGCGCCCATAACAACACCAGCTCCGCAGAGTTGCGAGAAGGTTTCTTTGCTAATTGACAAATATACTTAAAAGTGTTTCTCACTTAATGTTGCACTTTATTAATACCAACTTAAGTGTGTGTGTATATACCTGATTCAAATCACTGAACTCTTCACTCTACACTTGCAATACGTTTGATTTTATCCGGCAAAACAGCGCTCGCAGGTAAACAAATATTCAGTAGTGATGATAACGTATTGGTATACAATGTATCGATATATCGCCTGTTTAAATAATATATTTATAAAAAATATCAAGTTAAGTGGAATATATCCAAATGGAATAATTTGTCTGTTATTTCGATTGAATTGACGCTACTAGACTCATTATATATAAATACGCCTGCAAGTTTGACCACTTAATGTTTCATCGATATCTGCAACATAAAGTCGATATTTTAGTGCGATAAGCATCGCCAAAAATAACGCTTTACAGCACTACTTTCATAGATGGCGTTATAGTATCAGCTGCTGCTTCCCGCGAACTTCTTGAACTTAATTTTGCCAAATACAAATATAATCGGCGTTTTAGCGTGCATTGGAGTTGTTAATAATGAGTGTTTGTGCGTTACCGCTGTCTGAAATATAAAGGCACAGCCGAATTCCTAATGCGAGTACAACCAAAACCAAGTCTGTCCAACCGCAGTCTTTGCGCTCGCAAATAACATGATGAAATTCTTCGGCACTTTAATGCAAGATGTGAGTAAACTGGTACTGATAGTGGACTCATTGCATCATGCGAACGTATCAAGTGAGATGCTATTATTTCAGCCGTGCGTTTCCGGATGCGAATGAACTTTTCTGTGTGGCTTTCTTTGCGTCGCGACGCGTGGCCATAAGTTTAACCGTTAGAAGGGTGGCTATTAAAAATGAGTCAAAAGGGAAACGCACATACATAAGCTGGTAGCTATAAAACTCGTTGCTGCGGCTGAAGTATTTCATTTGGAATCTTTTGATAGCCCTTAGATTGGGTATATGTATATATTTAAAACTAATAGAAATTAAGCATTTTCTGACCCTTATAATACATATATATGCTCGATTAGCATCGACAGAAGAGTCGACATAGCTCCATTTCTGTCTGTAGAAACATGGAAAAATTACTTATTTTTATGCCTTTTGTTGATCATTATTTTTGCAGCGTGCAATACTTCATTTGGAACCGACTTGATTGGAAAACTATATCATATAGGTCTTATACGTTGGAATGGGGAGAAATTCAAAGGTAGATATGTAAATAAAAAACGCACATTTTGATATATTTATTTGTTTGCTTTATTCAATCAACTTTGCTTGGCATCTAAGTATACATACTAGTTACATATATCGAATAGGATAGCATCCATTACTTTTACACTGGTATTCAATAGGGATGTATCCATATCGATCCTCCTTTACTTGTACACAACAAATGCTCATCGTTCTTAGACCATTCCTAAAGTACACTTTATATACAATACGAGTAATATGCTGTTTTCATTTTTAGTATTTTGTTACATAAATATTTGCTCATTTTTTGTGGGTGTTTAAATATAGATATAATTGATTTTGTTTGCGTGTGTGTGTGTGTGTGTGTGTGTGTGTGTGTGGGAAGAAAAACATTTACAATACTTACTAAACATCTATATTGCAGTTTTATCCAAATATATATGTATGTACATATATTTGTATATCATTTGTGCAACAGAATTTGACTAGATTTGACACTCGTCCACAAACAAAACACTTTTGTGCCATTTCGTTGTAGAAACCCCCCTCCCACCCTGTTGCTCCACCAACTAACCGAATACGAATTACATATTGCTCTATGCCCCTTCTAGAGTTTCTGTCACTGCCACCTACTAGCACTAGAAATATATGTATATAATATGTATATATGCTTACCGACTAACCCAAAATACTAAATCCTCGACTAATCAAACATAATCAACAAGCTTAACTTTCACACCCACGAGCACAAGGCGGCGTGGCGTCTCACCCTAACTACTATTTTTCACTTAATTATTGCTAAGACCCAAGCATCCATCCACATCCACACTCACGCCCACGCCCACGCCCACGCCCTCATCCACTCACACTGACACTCTCTGTATCATGTGCCACCCATCGAGCACCGTTATTTTATTACTGTTTACCGTTGTACCGCACACGGTACCGCACCCCACACTGCCATATCGGGTTGTCCCGCTCTGGCACACTTTCCTTTCCCACCCGTAAGTCCTACAGTGGTGTTCCTTCCGTTAGTTACACAGCCATGGGCAGGGCATGGGGTACAATCGGAAGTGTGCCAATTTCAATGTGCCATTCAACGTTTCGGTGTGTTAATTGTTTTGTTACCCTGCTCCGGGAACCATTACATCCGTAGTACGATAAATTTCAAGTGCATTAAAAAGATCATGGGTGGTAAATTAACTTATTGGCGCGTCACTCTGCCGTCGTCGTCAGTGTCGATGTCGTTGTCGTTGTCGTCTCTATCGTTCCGTAGTCGCGCCAGGACTGCTAGTTAACGTTAATTGATGCTTTGTTTTTGTTGCTATTGCTGACAATTATATATATATGTGTATATATGTATTTATATATAGCGACGAAACTCGTTGAGAGTTCGACTCCCTTTCATCTGTATCTGGTGTTTGCTTCCGTCCGTTTTTACTTCATTTCTATATATACAATTACAGTGTTTCTCAATAATCTACTATCCTTATGGGGCTCTTATGTTATAACAACTTTGGATTAATTGCATATAATGTATATATAATATATTGACTCTATTTTGAATCTATTTCTGTTGATCAACTTACAATCTAGGGGCTTAGCTTTTGTTTTTGGTATGTATAGGATTTTAATATTCCATATATGTATTTTTATGGTTAATGTTTGACTTAATTTCTATGTACGTATATTTATTCTAAATTCCTATATAATTTTCTGATATTTCAGGATGAGTTCAAGTTTTTTTTTTTGCCATTTTGATTAATTTGTTGAAGTGTTTTATAGCTGGCTGTGGGAATAGTGGAATGAAACAGGCATGAAGTACAGTTGTGTTTAGGTTGACAAGAGATTGAAAATAAATGCTGAATAGATGAAGGAACAGACTGAAGTACAGTTGTGCTTGAAAGGTTGGAATATTTGCAGCGGCATTGTATCTGAAAGGTTTATTCTAAAAATATGTAGCGCTTTGGTACTGCCAACATCTAAGTTTTACTATTTCTATGGCAAAATATCGTTTACGTTCGAATAATTTAATTTCTTAAACTAAACTCCACTCAGGGAAAACAAATTCTTTGCCTTTTCCCGCTTTCTATATTCTATAAATTCTATTTTTATCATCTCTATACTCCTTAGATCAGGCCCCACCTTAGAGGAACTCTCGAAATGGTTCATCAAAATTATCATTAACATCTGTAAAGTTGCCGGAATTGTTACCTACACCGACACCCACGCCGGACACAATCCCAACGCCCACGCCGACATTAACTCCGACACCCACACCCACACCAACTCCTACGCCAACTCCGACGCCCACATTAACCGTTGTGGAGCCATTCAGGATGAGTGTCGGCTGCTGTTGGGGCTGCTGCTGCTGCTGCTGCTGCTGTTGGGTGAGCATCATTGTGGCTCCCATGTGGCCATGACCATGCATCGTCTGCTGCTGCTGTTGCTGTTGATGATGGTGATGCTGTTGCTGCTGCTGCTGCTGTTGCTGCTGTTGCTGCTGTTGCTGCTGTTGCTGCTGCTGCTGTGGATGATGGGATGTGGGCTCCAACTGTGTCTGCTGCATGTGCATCGCCTGGGGCTGGAGACTCTGCATCGCAGGATTGGCCGAAACGGCGGCTGCATTCAGCAAAGTGCCATCGGCAGCAGCCAACAGAGCACAATCGTAGGCCCCACCATTGGCCAGAGCATCCTCAAAGCAAAGTGCGGCCGCGGCATTGGCCGATGCACCATTCGTGCCGCCACTGGCGTCCGCCGTGAGGCTGGAAAGAAGGACACCGCCAACGGCACCGCCATTCAGCTCCATTGCAGCCGCCTCCTCGTTCCGCTTCGAGAGTATGATGTGCGTCAGATTGATGATGTAGTTCTTGGCCAGCGTCAGTGTCTCAATCTTTGACAGCCGCCGCTCCATCTCCACGTGCGGAATGACCTCGCGCAGCGACTGAAACGCATCGTTCAGGCTGTGCATTCGCATGCGCTCCCTCTCGTTGGACTCCAAACGCCTGAGATTCCGCTCCTTGGCATTCAGCGCTCCCTTGCGCCGCCGATTGGCATTTGAATTCGAAGAACTGGAATTGGCACTGTTCGGAGTGAGGCTCGACGCACATCCGCCGTTGCTCTGCTGCCCACGACCTCTACTCGAGGGCCGTTGATTACCCTGGGAGTGCCCCTGCGGATTGTTGGTGCTGCTGCCACCTCCATTGCTGCTGCCGCCCCCACCGCTCGTATCATCGCTCTGCGAACTGGAATCTGTCATCTCCAGATCGTAAGTATTATTGCTTAACTGCACATGGAAGATACACACACATTAAATATCAATTTCACTCTTTACAGATCTACCGCTCGTTGGCTGCTTACCTGTGAGGTGCGCCTTGTGACACGTCTTACGGGTCGGGAACTTCTCTCCGCCGACTCTGGGGACAAGCCATTGTGTCCATCTGTGTTGTAGTTGTTGTTGTTGTGATGCAACTGCTGCTGAAGCTGCATGAAGTCGTGGCTGCTGATCAGTTCCGTCAGCTGTGTGGCATCCATGGTTGCTCGGGGGTGTTGTTAAAGTGCTAAAAGTTACAGGTAATTTATAAAAAATAAGTCAGAGAATGGAGCAAGTCAATGGGGGATGCCCGGACGTGTGCATATATTTAATTTGGGAAAAATTATGAGATCTTTTTTATGAAAGACTCTTTCAGGCTCTTTGGAAATATTTGTAAACCCAATTTCCATCCATTCTATTCAAAGGGCTTACCAGATAACCTCCTCTGTGGAGGATTTCTCCTTTTTAAGTGGCTCTATATCCCCAATATCCCTTTATGATCTCCCCATTTCCTTTATTATCTGTCAGTTTATTGTTGTTTTGTTTTTGTTTTTTGGCTAGTCAGCTTTTTAATACTCCCCATAATTGCAGAGCTTTCTGTCAGTGTTTGTTTTATGATATTTTATCTAGCATTTCGGTCTCTTAACCACATTTGAATCATTTGTGTGTGATATTCGTTATCTTTAAATCGATATTTGCTATGTGGAAGTTGGACTGGACCCATCACACGTGCTGCTATTTGACACATAAATTAGGTTAGATGACACATTCATACGAATGTCCAAATGTCATTTTGAGTTCTCGCTGGAAATGTATCTAGAATTTCTAGCACATTGTGTAATTATAATTATAAAATTGGAGGCGGTAGTATTGCATTCTTTGCATTAAAATGTTGAATGGAGATCAAAGATATTTGTATATGGAACTTATGTAAATTTCTGTATAAAAAAAGGGAGCTTCTCGCTTTTCTTCTTTCTTTTCGATCGATATTATATGAATTTATTCGTAAAAACAATTTTAAAGCACACATTTGAATAATATACTGTTAGAACCGATAAAAAACAGTTTCTCATACATTTTGGAATGATATTTAGATTAATTTCTATAAGCGACTTCAGAAGTTCAAGAAAAAAATGATCTTTTACGGGTTTTATGTGTGAATCGATTTTTGAATGGTATTCTGATATTTCGTCATATTTTGTATGCTTCCTTAAAAAAACTCTTCCCTATATATTTCTGTATTATCTTTTCTTTCAATACGTCTAAAGGATAAAAAATGTTCCAACTCTTTCGCCATTTCTTAAAGAAAGAACTCTGCAAGGCAATACTTTATTAGATTTCTCACAATGATATTGTGACACACTTTATCTACGACTGCTCCCCTCGTAATTCCTTGGCAATTATTTTTAGAAAGTGTCCCTAAACCTTACCATTTCGTCACCCCCCTAATAATCCCTCAGAACAATCATGCAACGCTAATCAACGAGGCAGCAAATAGTAAGAAATTATAAGACGATTTCCCCCTCCTTTTGTCTTTTTTTTGCACCCAATCCTGTTGCGCTTGGGGTCAAGGGTCAGTCGGCGTGAACAGAGATTGCATTGTACTTGAAAAAAAAAAACTACCGTAAGAGAGAAGAGCACAAGAATCTTGTGCGGGGCGGGGGGACTGGTGTTTCGATGAAATGCTTTCGCGCTTTCTGTCGTTGTTATGGTTATGCCCCTTGGCTTTCCAGCATTTGACCCGGAACCCCGTACTGCTGTGGAACAATTTAAAGAGTAAAGCAGACGCAGGACATGGGACACGGGGAATGGGGACACGATACTGGAAGGAAAACACTGACTTTGTTGTAATAGAAAACGCGCACTTTGCGGTGCATTTTTCTTCGCTTTTCCTCCACTGAGGCTCCGCTGAGTGAAACAAAAGTGTCGCTATTATTTAACGACAACAGCTCCTTGGGCTCTCTCGCTCTCTCGGACCATGGACTATGAACTATGCACTGTTTGGCGGGTCTTTAAAAGAAATGTTAAGAGAAATGACTACAATACAATGCATATCACAGCGGTGGTCCTGGCCTGGTGAAGGCAGCGTTAAGTGCGGAGCGGAATTTACAACCCGATATTTGGGAACGATAGTTCATACAAAACTCAAAGATATTTTTATAAATATTTGAAAGCTTTTCTACAATATTTAATTAACGAAATTCTAAAAAAAAACAGAAGCACAGAATATATTAAATATTCCCTGAAAGAGCTCCTTCGTTAATTCTCGAGATAATCCTTGAAAACGCTCAAAAAAATAGCCCTTAAAGATTTCCTAATTTTCGAAGTTTCCTAGAGGTTTTGTTAATACTTTTTATTTAGTAAAAAAAAATAACAGAAAATATTACATATTCCCTGTAAAGTATGTGAGGATCTTTAGGTAGCTATATTTTCACCACAGTATCTGCGATAGTTGTTAATAATTCCACTTCAAATTCCTCAAAAATATGCCTTAAATATTCCATATTCAAAATGAAACAATCTACTAACCATTATCGCATTGGATAACTCGACCATCTCTAGCACCTTATGGAGCACCCCCCAACTTCAAGCTGCGTATAAGGTTATAGGGTTACACTGATGTTATATAATGGCTTTCGGTTATAAAAAGACTTGGTGGGAAGGGGCAACAGTTTGTCCAATGAGTCGCCGATTTGTCGCCATCGAATAGGGGGGCGGGCTTGGCTTTAAATGCAGATGCTTGCAACATGTTGCTTGCCCCTGCTGTTGAACCTGAAAATGCAGCTTCCTTTGTCTGGCGGTACGCTTGACGTGGTCTGCAGATATGGGGCTCTGAGGTCCTTAGCAATGCAGCAGCAGCAGCAGCATCCCAGCAGCCAACAGCCAGTCAGTCAGCACCTGGTCTTGTGTAATATTTATTATGCTTTCTAGTAAATAAAGCATACTTTTGCGTGCCTTTGTGCGTCGCTTCTTGTGTGGGTTGTGTGCCGTGGATTGAGTCGGGGTGGGAGCATTGGGGGCTCTTTGGTTGCAGGCAACGTTTTGAACTGCATTTGACAAGTGTATTGGGATAATTCGTTTGTGATATAAGAGAAATGAGATATGTTTCGAGCCTGGAAGGCGGACGGAAGTTTCGATTGCGAATTATACGAGCCTCAAATTTGGGTTAAGACGTTCAATGCCTTTTGGGTTGATTGAATAACTCAATAACTCAGAATGGTGGGACAAAAATATCGGCACGTTTGTGGTTACAGTTACATTTTATATTTGTTTTAAGGATTTAAATGCTTATATCATAAATCTTTAAGAGATATTTAAAATTGTGGTTATATTTAATGGTTTATTTTCTATGAATATTATGATGTTTAATGCCCAGTTTTAAACCAAAAGTTTTTCTTCTTAATATTGAACTCTTGAATATTGATTTCATTTTTTAATTTTCATTAAAAAATTGCTTTAAAAACAACACTCTACAAATATTCGAGGAAATAAATGTTTCTAAAGCGCAGTATTTTGTTGAATTTATCGCAAGATATTTTTAAATAATTCTAAAGGCAGAATGAAAAATACTGTGAATACTGAGTCGGTACATATTTTTCGATTTTATTTTGAAAACTTGTTAATAATGTTTTTACGATAGAAATACCAAAATACTGCGTGTTATAAACATTTATTACCTACATTTATAATAGTTGTTCTTATATATTCTTTACATGATTTATAATTTGTGGGTTTTTTTTTGTTTTTTTAAATAAAAACCTTAATTTCCCGTAATTTAAAGCTTGGGTTCTTTCTTGTTTCTTTTTGTGATGTGAAAGGTACTAGAATATTGCAACTAAATATATTTAAATACTTAAATTGAAAACTTACATTCGCTCAAAATTTATAAACCCAGTGGCGTATTTTTGATTGATCCTTTATTTTTTTACACAGATCTATCAAAAATAACTCTTCACACTTTTCACTTTAATTAAGGGCATTTTTTTAAACCACTTATTTGACACACACACACATACACGAGATTTTATGCCTTTTTCTTTTTTCAAAATTTCATCATTTTTTTTATTAATTATTTCTTAAATTTCAGCACTGAATAATCCGAGGGTAGAACAAATTGCGTTGGGCCATGGACCGAAACTGAGCGAAACGCACGCCGTGGAGCACCGGAAACGCGGAAGCGTTGAGGATGACGGACACTTGTGGAATGGTTGCAACAGTGAGGCGTCCTCTGCCTCTGCCTCGTCGACAGGCGAACCGAGGCACACGGCCAAAGGCGAATCACAAGCCTTGGCCGAGCATTCCCGAAGTCACGCAACAAGTCTAACAGTTCGGCAAGAGGGGGGCTGGGGTCTGGGGCCTGCCCGAGTGCCCGAAGCGAAGCGAACTGGCGAATGGAGAGCATTTCAAAAGGCTCAAAGCATGAGTGCCACGATTCTGAGTGAGTTTTATTGCGTCGCTTTTGTTTTGTTATATATTTTTTTTTCTAAGCAATCGAGTCGGGGGCGAGACCCCCACACAAGTGAGGCCTACAAATGGGGTTGGGTCGACACAGGGATACCTGGTAATTGGTATTAAAGACTTAATTAAAATAGAAATAAGTTAAAGTGCATGAAAGGATATTTTGGTTACGTTTCGCTACCTTGGAAATATTTTTCGAGAATTTCAAAAATACCTTAAACCACAAGTGTCCCCTGCAATACGAGCACTTCTCATTCAGTAACTTTTATCAATAAAAATACTTATTTATTGCCTAGATCTCTATAAAGATTACTCCTTACCATGGACTGAATATTGTATTCTTGTGAATTTCCTTCCGCTTCGGTTCCATTCGGTGTCCCGCCTCATGCAGCAGCGTCCCTCGGTCGGTTAGCGTTTAGTGCCTGAGGCTCTATATCCTTTACGAATTTCTGGTTTTTCTATTCTTTCTAAAGTATTTTATTTTAATTTCCTTAAACCGCATATAAATCGGGAATGCTCCTTTATCCTTATGTCAAGTGTAGGGTATTCTAACACTGCCCTTATCACATTACACGTTATCCCAGAGCGAGAGCCCAGAGCCCAGACCCAACCCCCATTCGCCCAACGGGGTGGCTTGTGTTTTGGAGTTTCTAGACATGTCACACACCACGTGCTGCGGAGCCCACAACTCCAGACGCAGGGGGTAGCGGCATAGTTCTGCAGGGAGTGTGGGCTGTGTGGTATGTGGGTGCCTGATTAGTCCCGCTGACGCATGTTGCC